AGTTCAAATGTATTGCTGGTTCAAATGTGGATCAAACGGGAGGTCTAGCCAAAAGGGAGAAAGTGTTCCAGAAGAGACTTAGACATGACAAGAGATGGTTATGCGGCAGATGCTAGAGCACTGGGTTCCAGGAGCCCAAGAAAGCTCTAATGTCCACAGGCTACACGGGGAAAACCCGGAAGCCCAAAACCTAAACTTATGGGTTCCACAGTAAGACTAGTTAAACCCGGAAACCCAGGCCCATAACCCACTGGCTACACGGTAAATACCGGAAGCCAAAGGATGGCAGAGACGTCTGCCACAACTTCTCCTCTGAGTCAGGCTATGCAGTAAGCACTGGTCAAACACCAGTTAAATCTGAAAGCCCGGGAAGTCAGGCTAGAGACCGGAATCGCTGCCTCACTTCTGCTCTTTTCTCTTTCAGAAGGGAGGTTACTACTGTTCTGCAGGAGACATTTGCCAGGATATGCATCTCAAAGTCATCCCGATAACGTTTCAGGGGCAGCCCAGTATCTGCATGCTGCCCTGCCCCTCCTACCTGATAACCTGCCAGGTGGGGGTCCCCGCCCCTTCTGCCCCTTCCAGGTGCAGCTCAGTATCTGCACTTCAATATCCTGCCCATCCTTCCTCTAACCAGGGCAGTGCCAGTCAGGCTTCCCCCGTCTGATAGCTTCAGGGGAAAACTCAGATAGGAGTTTTTCTATTTACATCCAAGAAGTCCTTTGTTTCAAGAGGAGCAGAAGTGGGGAGGCAAGACCTATCCCCTTAAAAACCCCCGGCCTCAACCAGACTGCATGCTCAGCCCTCTGCCTCATTGCTGTGCCGCCCGCCTGCCCTGCCCAGGCGTACTCCCCACTCAACCATGGAACCCCACTCTCCCCCCAGTCCGAGTGACTGGGCACTCTCTCTCAGGTTCTATCTGGAGAGGTGCCCATCTGTTCTTACGGATGTCCCTTCCCTAATAAACCTTGCTATTTTACTTTCCGCTACTCTCTGTCTCACACCTGAATTCTTTCTTGCGCGAAGACAAGAACCCTGCCATTTCACCGGTAACAGAATTGGAGCATCTGGGAATAGAACTGGCACCCATATGGATGCCAGCACTTCAGGCAGCAGCTTAGCCCATTATGCCACAATGCCAGCTCCAGAAAGAGCATATTTCTACAGTAAAGAAAATATTGGGGCTGGCACTGTGGCACAGGAGATTAATCCTCTACCTGAGGCGCTGGCATCCCTTATGGGCACCGGTTTGAGTCCCGGCCGCTCCTCTTCTGATCCAGCTCTCTGCTATGGCCTGGGAAAGCAGTAGAAGATGGCCCAAGTCCTTGGGCCTCTGCACCTGTGTGGCAGACCTGGAGGAAGTTCCTGGCTCCTGGCTTCGGATTGGCCCAGCTCCAGCCTTCACCTCTGTTTGGGGAATGAAACAGCAGACGGAAGACCTTTCTGTCTGTTTCTCCCTCTCACTGTCTGTAACTCTACCTGTCAAACAAATAAAATAAAAATTAAAAAAATATATCAACCCATTTATGCAGCTAATAGGGGCCATTAACAGCAAGACAAGATCAAAGACAGAAAATGGAGAAGGAAGGACACAAAGCAAAGGGACAATAAGAACTTTAACTTGCTGCTTACAAAGAGAGGCCTAGTGAGGCAGCACCACCTGCGGACAGAACCAAAAGAGAGCGGGGGAGGGGCTGGCACCGTGGCGTAGCAAGTAAAGCTGTCACCTGCAGCACTGGCACCCCATATGATCACCTGTTCAAGTCCCGGCTGCTCCACTTCTGATACAGCTCCCTGTTAATGCGCTTGGGAAAGCAGTGGAGGCTGGCCCAAGTCCTTGGGCCCCTGTATTCCAGTGGGAGACCCGGAAGAAGCTCCTGAACCCTGGCTTTGGTCTAATCCAGCCCCAACTATTGCAGCCATTTGGGGAGTAAACCAGCAGATGGAAGAGCTCGCGCGCGCTCTCTCTTGCTTGCTCGCTCTCTCTCTCTCTCTCCCTCTTTCTGCCTCTGTCTCTCCTCTGTAGCTTTGACATTCAAATAAATAAATAAATCTTTTTAAAATAGAGGGGGGACTCACCCTCACCCTTGTGCCCCTAGCTCCAGGTCCCCTCAGTTCTTGGTGAATGTGGGTTCCAAGGCTCTTCCCTCTGCTCCAGCCTAGAGCTCACATCAGGTTTGGAACTTGAAGCCCTGCTCCAGAGAAAGAAGCAAGACCTTGTTCCTCTCATGTCCAGGGCAGCACGGCCCTGAAGTCTGAGACTGTGCTGGTCCTGACCTCTGATGTGGGTGCCTCATCTTTATTCCCAGTATCTAGCACCCTGCCCTGCCCTGCCACACTGATCCTGCCTTGTGTAGACACCAACCTCACCACACCTGAGTTCCTGGTTCCCCATGGCCCGGCTATTATAGGCATTTGAGGAGTGACCTAGCAGATGGGAGCCTCTCTCTCTCTCGTGTGTGTGTGTGTGTGTGTGTGTGTGTGTCTCTCAAAATAAATTGAATAAAATAAATTTTAAAATTATGTCAAATTACAAGCAAGAAAAAGTGTTGTTCTGCCTTGAAAGTGCAGAAAAACAGAATCAAAGAATAAGTTCTTAAAAGCAATTAGACACTAGGCTAATCCTCCGCCTTGCGGCGCCGGCACACCGGGTTCTAGTCCCGGTCGGGGCGCCGGATTCTGTCCCGGTTGCCCCTCTTCCAGGCCAGCTCTCTGCTGTGGCCCGGGAGTGCAGTGGAGGATGGCCCAAGTGCTTGGGCCCTGCAACCCATGGGAGACCAGGATAAGTACCTGGCTCCTGCCATCGGATCAGTGCAGTGCGCCGGCCACGGCGGCCATTGGAGGGTGAACCAACAGCAAAGGAAGACCTTTCTCTCTGTCTCTCTCTCTCTCACTGTCCACTCTGCCTGTCAAAAAATAAAAAAAAAAAAAGCAATTAAAGAAGAAAGTCAGTAAAATTGTCATCAGAAATTGTAGAAGCCAGAAGATTCTGGGAAAATAACAACCTACGATTCTATGCAGGCTAAACTATCATCAAAAGAGAAATAAGGACAGTTTTAGATAAGCTGAAAGAACCTGCTACTTGTGGACACTTACTGAATGAGCCTGGGGAGAATATACGACTGGAAGTTCTGTTTGCAAGAAGAAGCCATCAGCAAGGCAGGCACTGAGGCAGAGGGCTACACTGCTGCTTGGGACACCTGTGTCTAGTATCTGAGCAACTGGATCTGGCCTCCAGCAGATGTGCCTCCTGAGAGGCACCAGATAATTGCTCAAGTACTTGGGTTCCTGCCACCCAGATGGGAGACCTGGATGGAGTCCCTGGCTCCTGGCTTTGGCATGGCCCAGCCCCAGTTGTTATAGATGTTTGGGGAGTAAACCAGAGAATGGAAGATCTTTCTCCTCTCTTTGTCACTCTGCCTTTCAGATAAATAATTTTTAAAAAGTGTAAATTGTTTTTTAAAAATGGAAGGAAATTGTGTACCTTGTTTATAAATTAGTGGTGGTGGGGTGTTAAGTGGTTAATATAATCAGGAAGAGGTATGACTAGGAGATTGCAAATACTTTTATTTCTTTTTAAAAAATTATTTATGTATTATGGCCGGCGCCGTGGCTCACTAGGCTAATCCTCCGCCTAGCGGCGCCGGCACACCAGGTTCTAGTCCCGGTCGGGGTGCCGGATTCTGTCCCGGTTGCCCCTCTTCCAGGCCAGCTCTCTGCTGTGGCCAGGGAGTGCAGTGGAGGATGGCCCAGGTGCTTGGGCCCTGCACCCCATGGGAGACCAGGAAAAGCACCTGGCTTCTGGCTCCTGCCATCGGATCAGCGCAGTGCGCCGGCCGCAGCGCGCCGGCCGCAGCGCGCCGGCCGCGGCGGCCATTGGAGGGTGAACCAACGGCAAAAGGAAGACCTTTCTCTCTGTCTCTCTCTCTCACTGTCCACTCTGCCTGTCAAAAAATAAAATAAAAAAATAAAATAAATAAATAAATAAATAAATAAAATTTATTTATGTATTAAAAGGCAGAGAGCAAGAGTAAGCAAGATTTTCTGTTCTTCCATCAGCTGGTTCACTCCCCATATGGCCACAACAGCCAAGGCTAGGCTAGGCTGAAGCCAGGAGCCAGGAGTTCCATCTGGACCTCTCAGGTGGGTAACAGGGGCCCAAATACTTGGGCCATTATCCACTGTCTTCCCAGGCACCTCAGTAGAAAAGTGGTTCAGAAGTGGAGCAGCCAGGACTCAAACCAGCACTCTAATATAGGATGCCAGCATCCCTATTGGTGTGAACCCTTTGTGCCACAATGCAAGCTCCATAACTTTGTTAAAAAAAAAAAAAAGGCAATAGATTTGATGGGTTAAAGCTGAGCAGAGAATGACCAACAGCCGAACACAAATCTGTAACTTCCTGTACTGTAAGTGCATACACTTGGGCTCCAGAATGAGACTGCTAGGGTTCGAGTCCAAGTTATGCCCTCTCCAATCACTCCAACAGCAATTTCCAGCTACTGGCAGTGGGAAGAGAATTAGAGGCAACCCGGGGGGAAAGTCATTCCCCCAGCTTTTTCTGATCCCTGCCTCCTTGCCTGAAACACCCTCTGAGTCTTCTACCACCAATCCCTGGCATCCACCATTCTATTTGCTGCTTCAGGGAGTTTGATTTTTTTTTAGATTCCACATATAAGTGAGATCACATGGTATTTATCTTTCGGTGCCTGGCTTATTTCGCTTAACTTCACGCCCTCCAGGTTTGTCCATGTGGCCACAGTGGTAGGATTTCCTTCTTCCTGCAGCTGAACAGTATTCCATTGTGTGGCTGTCCCTCCATGACTGCTGGAATTGCTTCTGGCTCCTCAGTGTTCTGGAAAAACCCAGGTGGGAGAACAAGCCACCAAAGATGGAGAGGCAAAAAGACTAAAGAAAGAGGATCAATTCAAGATTACATAAAGTGCAGCTTATTGGGGGGATTTACGGATATAAGAGTGGTCTCTGGCACCAGTGAGACAATGGAGTCCTACACCCTTATGGTAATAAGAGGTTATATTTTAAGCCAAAGGGGACCCACAGCTAACCTAAGTACTCCTGAATTTTCTCAAAAAACAGTAACATTCCAGGAGTTAAGATAAAAGGCATTACAGTGTTCAGGCCAGCAAGGCAAGCCCAGCAGACCATCTTGGTTTGGATTAATCAGTTACATCCAAAGTGACTCCAATGATGTAAAGGTGGATGCCTTCACTCAGGATACCAGCATCCCCCAGTGCTTGCATAAAATGACATAGTGTTTGCTCATAACCTTCACTCATCCTCCAGCATATGTTGTCATCTTTAGATTCCTGATGATACTTACTACAATATAAATGCAGGGGCTGGTGCAGTGGCATAGTGGGTAAAGCTACGCCTGTGGTGCAGACATCCCACATGGGCACCAGTTTGAGTTCTGGCTGCTCCACCACGGGCTCTCTGCTATGGCCCAAGCCCTTGGGCCCTTGCACCCACGTGGGAGACCCAGAAGAAGCTCCTGGCTTCGGATCGGCTCAGCTCCAGCTGTTGTGGCCATTTAAGGAGTGAACCAGAGGATGGAAGACTCTCTCTGCCTTTCAAGGAAATATATAAATCTTTTTAAAAATACATAAATGCAGTCTAAATAGTTGGTATAGTGCATTGTTCAGAGAATGATGACAAGAAAACATTTTTGACTGACTCACTTCTACCATGTGTGTTCTCACGTCTTTATCAAGCGGCAATCTCCCAATTCTGCGAATTTCTAAGAGTTCACTTGACCTTCCCAGGCTCCGGGAGCCGACTGCCAGAACCATCGAGTCGCCCAGTCCTCCCGCCACCTAGAGCGACTGCGCTGCTCCGACGGGGCGGGGCCACGGCCGGAAGTGGGGCGGGACGTGCGGGGGTCAGTCGCCCTGCAGATCCGCTTTCTCGCTGCGCGACCCTGAGTGCAGGTGAGGGTCCACGCTTCGGACTGCGCCTCTGGGTGCCCCTGATGCCCGCGGCGCGGGGACCGGTGGGGTCCTCGGGCTCCACGGAGCGGGCGGCCAGGTGCCGACCCCAGGCGGAGGTGGGGCTGCTGTGCTAGGAGTTGTGCGAGCGCCGGGCGGGCGGGGCCGCGGCTGGCGGGCCTCCGTGGGGAGCCGATTCTGCGGAGGGCGGCCTCCGGGGAGGTGTCTCGGGGGGCAGCCCTCCTAAGGGGTGTGCCGTGGTGGGCCGAGTCGGGACTTGGGGCCCGGAGGCCGGCGGCGTCCCTGCCTGGCAGGGCCGTCACGGGAGCTCGTGAGGCGATGGGGGCAGATCGGGCTGGAGGAAGCGGCTGCAGGATTTCGGTGTGACGTCAGTGTGACGCCAGATGCGCAGAGCTCGGGGAGGGGTGAGGGTTTCGCTCCCAATCGGTGCCCTGCCCGGGGCCCAATAGTGGTGGCTTCCCGGCAGGATGGCGCAGGAGCTCTGGAGGCAAGGAACACGGCCGCCTCCTCCCCCGCGGGAGTGGAAGCCAGGGGACTGGCCGCGGCCCTGCCTGTGGGTTTCTGTCGTGGGGGCGGATGGGCAGGGCTTCAGCTGTTAGTCTCCGCCGCCTCGGGCTGATCCGTTAGCTGGGAGAGTCGGCTTTCCTCAGCAGTTGGCAGAACCCATTTCCTGGGTTATCGCCAGCCCTAGCGGCCCTTGAGAGGTTCTTGTGCCTGTGCACTGGGGGGGGGGGGGGGGGGGTCTTCCTTTCAGATGCTTCTCGGCCCGGCAGGGCTCCTGTGATCAAACCAGGCCACCAGGGTAATCCATGACCATAATCATGTCTTCTGCGAAGTCGCTCTTGCGTAGCTGGCGTATCCACAGGTTTCTAGGCTTGCGATGAGACCTGTAGTGGTGGGATGTTCCGTCTTCCACAGATTAAGTCTGTTCTTGCGAGCAGGATCCCTCATAAAGTGAGGTGAGAAAAACATTGTGTAAAGAAGCATCGTTTGGTTCAGTTTGTAACAAAGTCAAGTACACATGTGTGCACGGACTAATCTGTAGGGTTTGTCAGGCGGCCAAGGCCACCATCCCCAGGGACCAGCCCTTTACGTGCTATCCTTACTTCCTGCCCTTCTCCCAAGAGCTTGGTCTCTACTCTGTGCCTGTCACCCAGAACACGTAGGGTCCTCGTGGTCTCGCCCTGCAGCCCCTCTTTCTTCTCCGGGAAACCCGCGGGTGATGCTCACCATCACCTTGGCTCTCGGCTTCCTCTCACCCTTCCGAGCAACCACACCGCAGCCCCTCCCCGCATACCCACGACCACACTCTGCCTGCAGCAGACAACGCTGCTGCCGCCTCGGAGCCTCCCTCCCAGGCAAGGCAGAAAGGAACAGGAGAGCCCCTGGATCGGCATGCCGCTCCTCGCCCGGAGGTGGCACCCTCTGAGTGCCGCCCGCACGTGCAGCCCTAAGAGGCCTCTGCAGCAGAGCCTCCGTGTCACAGACTGCACGCAGCACCTACCCCCACCCCGCTGGATGCCTCCCCCCTTTCTCAGTGACTGCCCTAGTTGAAATAGCCCCACCTGCACCCCAGTCTTCTGCTGCCTCTGCTTAGAGCACTTGCCCAAATTCAGTAACGTATTTGGTGTGCTCTGTCTCCCCCGTGAGCTCCGTGAGGCCAGTAGTCAGTGCTGTGTCCTGTGCTTCTCCCTAGAACAGACTTTACAGTGGGTATTCAGGGAACGTGTTCAAGAGGGGAAGCTAGACCACAGGTAGTCAGGCTTTTTCTACTGTTGCTTTTTCCAAGCATTTCCTGCCTTGTCTTTACCCATGAAAGTGAAGAGTCAGCAGTACCTGGTGGCCCATGCAGCATGAGAGAGGGCTGAGAGTCAAGCCCCATACCCCAGTGGGCCTCTGGGCAGGACGGGGAGAATCCATCAGTCCTCACAGGGAGCCCGTCTGTGCCTCCATCTCCTGCTCAGAGTGGTGAGCGGAAATGAGCCCAGACTTGGGGCTCTTTACAGAATAAGGAATACTAATGCCTCCAGACTGGACGGAATCATCAAGGAAGTTGGTGTAGGTGCAGAAACAAATACTGGGGCCTCAAAAAGGAGAGGGAGATGAGAGGCTTGGAGAGAGAAGCTGGTACCATAGAAGGACATCCCAAGAGGATGCAGTTCAGACAGAATTGATGAGGGAGATGGGCAAGAATGAGCACATGATGACCATGTGTGTTTCTACAGCACAGGCTACCTGGGTTGCTCGACCTTTGGAGTTGTTTCCCTGCAGAGGGTGGGTCTGTGACCAGCTTCAGGGCCCTGTGTCAGGAATGAGGAGTGAGAGTGGTAGCCCACAGCAGGGTGCAGGCTCTAGGGGCTGGGCCCTTCAGGGCGATGCTTGCTGGACACCATGAGCTCACTCTGCCTTGGGGTCAGCATCTTGCCTCTCTGTGCTGCAGCTGGGACTCAGGAGCCTCTGTCTCCAAGGCTGACTTTCCCTCTCCTTGGGTCCAGGATCAGGGAATGCAGCATTAACCCCCGAGACCTGGCAATACCAGGGTCTCGCCAGCTTCTGGCTGGGGAGGTGCCTGACGGGGAGATGGGTCCTTGGAGCTAACTCCTCTGTGTGCTTACCCATATCCTTGCTGGTCTCCAGGGCCCAGCCACACCCAGCTTCAGAGTTTGCCCCAAGGAGGCAGTGATGAAGACCTCTGCTCCAGGACCACCCCCCAGGCCTGTGTGCCAGACGCTCCTGCTGTCTATGGCCCTTTCTGCAGCAGTGCTGAGCTGACAGCCGTTCACCCTTCCCATCGGCAGCCAGGTACTGGGAATGGTTCCCCTCTGGGAAAATGATGTCCATGTTATCCTGTGCCTACCCTGAGACATCTGTATCATCCTGAGGGTAGGGAGGTGGGGGCCTGCTTCATGGACTCAAGGGGCTGCTCTTGGCCTGGCCCTGTGGCTGAGCAGGACACTGCAACTTCCCTGCTAGACACAGAGAGCTGTTACGTGATGACCACTAGGGTCCTTCGCTTTGTCCCACAAAGCTGCAAAGCTGCCGAGTTGGTGGCAGCACCCTGCTCTCAGGACTCTGCTTTAGTCCAGACCTTGACCTGGTCCCTTCCAGCTGTGTTCACATGGGCATTCTGCTCAGAACCCTTCTAGACAATCCGTTGAAAAGACTCCTCACCAACTCTCCTGTTTGGATCTTTCAGCAGTGGTTACTTGATGTTAGCTTCCCTCGCTTGAATCAGGCAGTGGCTGTTTTACAAGAGGACACCCTAGTCCGACTGTTTGTGGGCAGAGATGGTTCAAGGCAGTCATGTGTGTGCTGAACAGAACAGATTCTAAATGGAGAAGTGGAAGTGGAGGGCAGGCAGAGAGTAAGAAACACGAGAAAGGACCCAAAAATAGGGGGCCAGCTTGTTGTGTAGGCTGTGATGCCAGCATCGCACATGAGTGCTGGTTCAAGTCCTGGCTGCTCCACTTCCCATTTATCTCCCGGCTTTTGTGCCTGGGAGAGCAGCAGAGGATGGCCTGAGTGCCTGGGCCCTGTCCATGTGGAGTTGGCTTCAGCTGGCCCAGTTCCAGCTGTTGCAGCCCTTTGGGGAGTGAACCAGCAGATGGAAGATCATTTCTCTTTCTCTCCCTTCCCCTCTCTCTCCCTCTCTCACCCCCTCTTACCCCGCCCCATCTGTCTTTTAACTCTGCCTTTCAAACAAATGAATAAATATTTTTTAAAAAGAAAGAGAGCACCCAGAAGTGGACCTGAGAAACAGATGTGACCAGCATGAGCGGAGGCAGGTGTTAAACAGATGGCCAGGGGCCCTTGTGAGTATCTTGAGCAGAGAATGATCGGAGAATCCACCACATTTGCTCAGGAACAAAGGCTGATGATAACTCTTGTTTTAAAGACCACTGTGGAGCAAGTTGATGGAGTAGGCAGCTCCAGGCATCTGTGCTTCCACATAAACCTCCAAGAAACCAAGCAGAAACTCCGAGTCAACCGTTGGAAATGATTATCAGAAGTTTACAGCAACCAAGAAAGCGTTGAATCAAGAAAAATACAACCTAAAGGTGATAGGAAAAGTTTGTGGTGTTTTTGCTTGCCTACTTCCTAGCGTCCATCTGTCTCAGTGGTATTCGTGAAGCAAACAGCCTGTGTTCCCTGGTTGCAGAGGAGCAGATCAGATCTTACTCAGAATGTGTGTGTGTTCTTACCTGGTCAGGGCTACCTGAAGGATTGGTGCAGGATGCTTATATCTTCTTTGTCTAACTCAGAACTTAGAGCAGAAAAGTAGGTAGACACAAAAACATTGTGGGGCCACCGGTTACACATTGGATTTGTTTTCTGTCACTATAACAAAATCCCTGAGGCTAGGTAACTTTAAAAGAAAAAAAAATTTTTTTTTGTTTTGTTTTATTTGAAAGATACCTTTCATCTGTTAGTTCGTGCCCCAGATGCCCACAACAGCCAGGGCTGGGCCAGGCTGAGTCCAGGAGCCTAGAAGTCAACCTGGGTCTCCCACGTGGGTTGAAAGGGACCCAACTATTTGAGCCATTACCTGCTGCCTGCCAGGGTCTGCATTAACAGGAAACTGAAATTGGGAACAGAGTCAGAACGTGAACCTAGGCACTCTGCTCTGGGATGCAGGCATCCCAAGTGACATCTTAACCTTTGTGTTAAAAAAAAAAAAAAAAAAAAAGATTTCATTAGGTCACAGTTTTAGATGCTAGAAGTCCAAACAGTGTGTGCACACTTTGATGAGAGCCCCTTTTTGTATCACATCAGGGCAGAGCGCATGTGGAGATACATGATCAGATCTTGAAATGGAGCCAAACAGGGATTCAGGTCAGGCTCAGGATTTTATAACAGCTAATTCTTGGGAGAACTAACCAGAATCATGTGAGAAATATCTTCATCTCTTCTGAGAGCCACACTCCACAAGGAACTAAGGATCTCTCCCTGAACCCCACTTTTAAAAGGTACGAGCACCCTAAGGACCAAGGCTCAGGGTGCAAACCACATCCACATGAGAGCACCCAGCTTCCAAGGACAGGTTGGCTCCCTTGTTAGGGCAGGATGAGAAATTGCTTCCTAAGGATAGGCAAAGAAAGTAATCTCTTGAGATGGAACCTACTTCTAGCGAAGCTGCTTTGAGCATTACTGAAATGACATAAAAGGAATTAGCTTGTGAAAGCAGTGGCAGGGTTTGAGAAGATTGACTCCAATTGTGAAAGAAGTTCTGTGGGAAAAGAACGTCTCATGCAGCAGAGAACCTGTTGTGAGAGAGAGTCAGTCTGTGCGGCGAACTTCATTCTCGCCTAATAGCCTTTAGTGACGACCACCCTGGTCGGTCAGCAGCCTTTAGCATTAGGCAGAACCCTCCACCAATAAAGACTGTGGCTTGCTCAAGGCACAGAGGGTCACTAGCATTTTTAACAATAAAGCATTTTTAAATTAAGGTTATAAGTGTACCTTTTATTGCATTGGGGAACCAAAAGATGGGTTTGACTGAGTTTATTGTGGTATTTGCTTTATTGTGCTGGTCAGGAACCAATCTTGGTTCCTTTTTATAATTTGTTATCTCTTTATTGCTATTATCAACTTGTTCATCTTCCTGGTTGCTAATACTTCTCTGCCTCCCTAGCCCCCTTTTCTGGGCCATATTTTCTAGATTTTGTTTTTGTTGTTGTTAAAAACTGGACACTTGAATATCATATGGTAACTGGAAATAAGAGTTTCCTCCTCCTATAGGGTTTCCTTTTCTTAATCTTTGAAGGCTGCAGTCATCTGCTCAATTTTCCAACTGTATCTGCAAAAGCGATAGACATACATAAAAGGTACTGCATTTAGGCATTTGGGGGAGTGAATAAGCAGGTGAAAAATTTGATTCTCTGCCTTTAAAATGAACAGTTTTTTAAAATATTTATTATTTGGAAGGCAGAGTTACAGAGAGAGAGGGTGAGACAGAGAGATATTCCATCTGCTGCATTTACTGCTCAGATGGTCACAATGGCCAGGACTGGGCCAGACAGACGTCAGGAGCCAGGGTGGCAGGGGTGGAAACATTTGAACCATCTTCTACTTTTCCCAGTTCATTAGTAGGGAGTTGGATCAGAAGTGGAGCAGCCGGGACACGAACCAGCGCCCATATGAAATGCCAGTGTTCCAGGTGGCAGCTTTACCTGCTATACCACAGTGCCAGCCCTGAAAACAAAATTTTTTTAAAAAATATTTATATATTTGAAAGGCAGAGTTAGAAAGAGAGGAAGAAGAGCTTCCATCTGATGGTTTACTCCCTAAATGGCACAACAGCCAGGAACCTGAAATTCCATCCGGTCTCACACGTGAGTGGCAGGGGTCCAAGCACTGGGGCCGTCTTTCACTGCCTTCCCAGGTGCATCAGCAGGGAGCTGGATCAGAAGCTGAGCAGGCAGGACTTGAACCGTTGCTCAGATGGGATGCCAGCATTCCAAATGGAGGCCCAACCCACTGTGCCACAATGTCAGCCCCCAAATAAATTTTTGAAGGAACTAAATAGAAACTGTGGAACTAAAAAGTAAAATAAAATGACATGAAAAGTTTCCACAGTAGATTTTAGCCGACAGAGGAATCAGCAAATTTAAGATGAGATAGTTGAACTTAGCAGGTCTCAGGAACAAATAGAACAAAGATCTAAGAATAGTGGATAGAATTTAACAGACCTGGGGAACACCTTTAGGCAGATCAACTTGGGTATTTTCTGAATCCAAACAGGGAAAGAATAGAGACTGTGGTACAAAACAAACAAACAAACAACAACAACAAAAAACATGAAAAATAATGGGGCCTGTGATTAAGATGCCAACCCAGACTCGCATGTCCCACTTCCGAGTTGTCTGGGCTGGATGCCCACTCTGGCTCCTGGTGCGAGCCCTCTGCTAGGGCAGACCCTGGGCAGCAGTGATGGTGGCTTCAGACTCGCATGTCCCACTTCCGAGTTGTCTGGGCTGGATGCCCACTCTGGCTCCTGGTGCGAGCCCTCTGCTAGGGCAGACCCTGGGCAGCAGTGATGGTGGCTTCAAGTGACTGAGTTCCTGCCACACGTGTGGGAGACCTGGATTTCACTCCCAAGTTCCCGAGCCATTCCAGGAATGCAGAGAGTGAGCCAACAGATGGGAACTCTGGCTCTCAAGTAAGTACTTTGTTAAGGGCCAAAAATGAAGCAGAAGATAGCCCAAGTGCTTGGGCCCTTGCCACCCATGTGGGAAAACTGGATGGCGTTCCAGGCTCCTGGCCTCAGCCTAACCTCGACCTGGCTGTTGCAGTCATTTGGGAAGTGAACTCGAAGGTGGAAGATCTCTGTGTCTCTCCCTCTCTGTGTCACTTTTTCAAATAAATAAATATTTTAAAAATAAGAATAATGGCCCAAAAGTTCCAAAGCTTAATGAAACATGAATCTACATATCCAAGAAAGCCAATAAAGTCTGAGTAGGATACATTTAGATATCCACAGAGTCTTGTTACAATAAAATTGTTGACAGTTTTAAAACTGAGAAAGGACTCATGTCCTACAAGGGTCCTCAATAAAATTAACAGCCATTTTCCATCAGACAAGATGAAGTTCAGAAGGCAGTAAGATGACATTTAAAATACTAGAGGAAAAAGCCTGTCAAACAAGAATTCTATATCCAGCAACCTTTAACTACAGAATGAGAAATTAGGACATTCCCAGATGAACAAAAATTGGAAGTTTGTTACCAGTACCCCTTCCCTACAAGAAGTGCTGACAAGATGCTTAAAGGTGGGCATGGAAGAACAGCAGACAGAGATGCAAAGCCGTATGAAGAAACAAAGACCTCCAGCAGAGGTCAGCTACATAGGTAAGTGTAAAAACTTAGTGTTGGGAGCCAGTGTGGCACAGCAGGTAGGACCACTGCCTGTGATACTGGCTTCCTGGGTCCCAGGAAGCTGCTCCACTTCTAATCCAGCTACCTGCTAATGGCCTGGGAGAAGTAGTGGAAGATGGCCCAGGTTGTTTGGGCCCCTGCACTCATGTGGGGACTTCAGATGAAGCTTCTGACTGCAGCCTGGCCCAGCCCTGGCTGTTGAGGCCATCTGGGGAGTGAATCCGTGAACAGAAGATCTCTGCTTCTCCCTCTCTCTGTAACTGACTTTCAAATAAAATAAATCTTTTTTTTTTTAAAAAGTGTTACTGTAAGCCCACTTTTTATTTCCCATATGAAAGACAAATGCATAAAAAACAATAAATCTTATGTTTTGGAGCCCACAATATATAAAGATTTAGTTTGCCATGACAACAACACAAAGGGTAACAGCTGAATAGGAGCAGAGTTTTGTGTAGTATAAAAGCTAAGTTGGCTTCAGTTGTTTGAGGATATTCATGGTAATGAGTAAGAAAATACTTAAAAAGTGTACACACAATAGGTAAAGAGAAAATCGAAATGGCACACACACACACACAGACTAAGCTGGACAGGAGACAGCAGGGGAGAGTACTGTGGAGTAGTGGGTAAAGCCACCACCTGCAGGGTGGGCATCACATATGGGCATCAGTTCTAGTCCCAGCTGCTTCACTTATGATTCAGCTACCTGCTAATGTACCTGGAAAAGCAGTAGAAGATGTCCCAAGTGCTTAGGCCCCTGCACCCACATGGGAGACCCAGAAGAAGCTCCTGGCTCCTGGCTTCAGATTGGCTCAGTTCCAGCCATTGTGGCCATTTGGGGAGTGAACCAGCAGATAGAAGACCTTTCTCTCACTCTCACTCTCACTCTCTCTAAATCTGCCTTTCAAATAAAAAAAAAAAAAAGAGAGAGAGAGAAAAGAAATTGAACAAGAAAGTGAAAGTTGTACCAAAAACAAATTGCAAATTTCTGCAAATTGTAGAAATCCTTCCTTTTCCGTTACTACTTTAAATGCAAATGAATTAAACTTTCCATTCAGAGGCAGATACTAACAGAATGGATAAGAAAATGATGTCCAACTATATACCGTCTACAGTGGATTTACTTCAAATTCAAAAACGTGAGTAAGTTTAAAGTGAAAATATTCTATGCAAATAATAACCAAGGGTCCAGTGCTGTGGCACGGTGGGTTAAAGCCCCAGTCTGCAATGCTGGCATCCCATGTGGGCGCTGGTTCAAGTTCCAGCTACTCCACTTCTGATCCAGCTCTCTGCTATGGCCTGGGAAAGCAGTGGAAGATGGCCTGAGTGCTTGGGCTCCTGCACCCACGTGGGAGACCCGGAAGAAGCTCCTGGCTCCTGGCCGTTGTGGCCATTTGGGGAATGAACCAGCGGATGGAACACTTCTCTCTCTGCCTCTATCTAATTCTGTCTTTCAAATAAATACATCTTTAAAAAGTAATAACCTGGCTGGCGCCGTGGCTCACTTGGCTAATCCTCCGCATGTGGCACTGGCACCCCGGGTTCTAGTCCCAGTCCGGGCGCCGGATTCTGTCCTGGTAGCTCCTCTTCCTGTCCAGCTCTCTGCTGTGGCCTGGGAGTGCAGTGGAGGATGGCCCAAGTGCTTGAGCCCTGCACCCACATAGGAGACCAGGAGGAAGCACCTGGCTCCTGGCTTTGGATCAGCGCAGCATGCCGGCCATAGTGGCCATTTGGGGGGTAAACCAATGGAAAAAAAAGGAAGACTTTTCTCTCTCTCTCTGTCTCTCTCTCTCTCTCTCACTGTCTAACTCTGCCTGTTTAAAAAAAAAAAAGTAA